AACCATCTCTAACATGTCCTTTAGTCACCCCTTAGCCTAGTCAAGGGTTAGGAAGCCACTTACTAGGAATCCTAAGCAAGCAAACCAAGAAGAAGAGGCAGCAGCAACTCCGGCGGTGAGCTGAGCTCACAGTAGCGGGACGGGCGAGCGCTGGCACTCACGGTGACTGAGGGTGGCTGAGCAAGGGAGCTGGTCGATCTGGTGAGCGGCAGCAAGAAAAAGCAAGAAGCAAAATGAAGAAGAAAACAGCAGCAGCAGAAGTGAAGAAGAAGCAGCGAAAGAGAAGAAGAAGCAGCGGCAACAGCAATGATGGACAGAAGCAGCACGTGAAGCAGCATGGGGCAGCATGGGTCAATGGTCAGCAAAGCACACGTGAAGGTGCAGCAAGAAGTCAGCAGCAAGTCGGCGCGAAACAGAGGCGAAACAATCAGCAGTGCGAAGCGAGAAGCAAGCCGGAAATGGCATGGGCGGAGCAGAAGCAACACGGCAGCAGAAGCAGCAGGAAAGTCCATCATGGCAGCTGCATGGGGAGGTCAGCAACTTGGGGCAGCAGCAAAGTCAGCAGTAGAAGTAATCATGCAGAGGAAGAAGCAGCACGTGAGGGTCAGCAAGCGTGGGGTGTTCGGCGGGAAAGGAGGAGAGGAGAGAGAGAGAGTCAACGGTAATTATCGCGATCCAACGATCCACGTTCGAACCCGAAAACGATCTAACGGCTCACTAAAAATTCTAATTATAAACTAAGGAAAAACCAACGGATACTAAATAAAATAAACCTAGAGGGAGGTCTACTAGTCAAAATCTGCACCCGGTCCAAATTTTCACTTTCCGACTAATCTAGGCAAACTCGAGGCTGGCCACAATAATATCGACACCGTCCAATTTAATTCGTCACGAAACTCCAAAAATTCGACACCAAAGTTCGAGCTCTAAATAACGGCCAAATTCGATCGAATGCGATTATAGCGAAATCTAAATTTAAAAACGATAACCGAGAGTGATCAGTTCCCGGGCGAGATTTTACTATAAGCACACTGACGAATTACACGTTTTATAAATTCCAAAAATGGGTCGAAATTCGGAATGTCACATCGTACTGATCGACTGACATCCGATTTTAGCAAAGCCGAAGAAACTCTGTCTTTTCTGTTCTCGCGCACTCTCCGAAAAGTACTTCCCATTGAAAGCCTCGACCAAAACACTCAAATACTTCAAAGCCTTTTTTCAACTCTTATATCTAAAGTGATGTAGCCTCAGGGTCACTTTTCCCATCGAACTTCAGAGGTTTCAATTTCAAATATTTTCCAACCAGCTGACGCATCTATCTGACTGCATTAACTTGCCCTTCACCTTGATTCTCAACATTTCCATTATGCCCATGATTCCCATTATTTCTATTGGTGGCGGCAACAATGGCCTCAGCATCAATAGCAACAGTAGTATTTCGCTCATCAGTCTGTCTTCCCATTCAAATTCCAACTTCCTCGAGTGCCTTCAAAATCTCATCCCATCTGGAATCCCCCACAACTCCAACTTGCGGACCTACATGACCTCGACCTCGACCTCTTCCTCGGCTACTCATACTCACAAGGTTTTCACACTCGCCTACCTACTATAATTCCATCTAGGAATTAGAGACCTAGGCCAACTATACCAGTCTAAAGCCCTAGGCAGTGAATCACCACACAATTCACTAAGTAGGTAGCTAATCACAAACAACACCCAATCACAACCAACAGAGTTCGTGCACTTACCTCAAGTCTGGACGCACCTGCATCTCACGTAATATTGCATAAAAATCACTCGACAATCACAATCAAACAGTCTGGGTAACGCATGGCACACAAGTCTCCCTAACTAGTTACCCCAAAGTCATCGCTCCTTATCACTCCAAACTTCGACCATCTTGGTTCGAGCTGACCTTGCTTTGATACCAAATCAACCGGGATGTCACGCCCCGGACCCCACCGAGCCCGCGACATCCCGCCCATGGTGGAATTGAACGCGACGTCCCAGGACGCGTCGCCGACCTAAACGAACTACGTAAGCGGAAGCGAAATAAAACAACCCAGACAACCAACATGATGACCAAAGGATAACAGGAAACAATAATTGCATAACATTATAAAGTAGTCACTATTACAGAATGATAACCCGGGCTACCAATTTCAAACTACACTTTTCAAAAGGGGGCGGTGGTTGACAAGCTTATCTCCTCTACAAAAATATACTCAAAAGACAGGGTAAATTTGATCTATTCTTCAATCCCTGTAGTATTCTGGCGGCGTCTCCGAGTCGATCACGGTCGCGGATCTAAAAGTGGTTATATAATAACCGTGAGAACGAGTCTCAATAAGCAACACCCTAAACCCTACGTAGGCCAATGCGTACCCAGACAAGTCGTACAAACAATATAACCCTCAACACAGAGAATTCACATCATAGTACTTACCTCGCCATCAAACGCATGCTCTGCACGTTAGTTAAACATGATAATGCAATATTAATAGCCTAATAACATACCACAATCACTCAAGTACCAACCACACTAGCACTCAATCAATCCAACCAATTCAATCACGCATTCAATCAGCCAGCCCAATTAGTTCAATCAATTCAATTACACTCAACTTGCATGCGTGGCCGAACAACTTTTCGCGACCTCCCAGGTCCTTTCATACTGCCCGCGCCACTACGCCTCAGGCCTAATCTCGCAGCCCACACTACTGCGCCTCAGGCTCAACCCTTAGATCAAGCCAGGCTCCGTTCCGCGTAACCAAGCCTCAGGACATTTTTCCCCTTCCAATGACCCGCGTAATCTACGCCTCAGGTCTAGTCATGCCTTTCTCGCCACACCCGCGTAACCACGCCGCAGGTTGGCAGCCCTCCGATCAATCCGGGCTTTTCTCATGCACATGCACCATAACACAATTCGCCATTCACACAAGTCATACCAATCAAACTCAAGGCATGCTCAACACATCACAACTCGCCAATCAACACGTCGTACAATTCAAATTCAATCATGCTCGCCACAACATTCTACCAACCCGACCTTCAAGTCGGTCACTTTCGAACATCAAATCCACCTACGAACGCCACACCAAGCCAATCATTGGCCCACAAACATCAGCCACTAATGAGCATTCCGAACCATCCCAATTCAGCCACACACGCCACGACAATATGGTTATTTAGCACGCCACAATTTGCCACGCAATCATTACAATTTAATCTACCACTTATCACATAATTCAAGTACTAATCATATTCTAACCAACTAATACATTTTCTAACTTAGTCACTAAATTAATTCTAATTAATCTCTAAACAAGTCTAATAATACCCATTGTACTAAATAAGGGTTAGAATGTCACTTACTAGGTTTTGGCCCAGAGAAAATCGGCTCGGGTCTAAAATGGCCCGGGTGAACAGTGCTAGACTAGGCATGGGCGCAGGCCAAACGGGCGCGCTGACCGGCCAATAGGGGCACGGTGGCCGAACGGCGTGCCTCGCGTGCGGGCACGGTGGCCGAACGGCGTGCCTCGCGTGCGGGCACGGTGGCCGAACGGCGTGTCTGGCGCGCATGGGCGGGCGAGGCGCTGGGCACGCGGCCTGGACGAGTAGGCAATGGCTCAGACACGGCCCGGGGTGACTTGGCCGCGAGTTGGGCTGGCTGGCAGGCGGGCTGCGGCGGCAATGGCGACGGCGACGCAGCGGCGATGGCGATGCGGTGGCGACGGCGCGGAGGGGAGGGGAAAGTCAGCCGGGGTAGTAAGGGCGAGAGGGAGAGGGAGATGGGAGCTGAAGGGGCGCGGACTGGCGGCGACGGTGAAGCTGAGGCGTCGGGCGATGCTGGGGAGCTGACCGGACGGCAGCTGGGACTCACCAGACGCGGCGGCTGGACGGGGCGGAACCGAAACAGGAGAGAGACCGGGGAGGAGAGAAACAGAGGGAGGGACTAGTCGCGCGGCGGCCGAAGGCGGCACGGCGGTGTCACAAGTGGTCGGGCGACAAAGGACAGGCCGGCGGGCAGCTGGGCAGCGTCGGGCCGCGGCGGACCCAGTGACGAGCTGCTGCTCGCGCGCCACGCGAGCAGGCCGGCGACAGGCAGTCTCCGTGATGGATGGCGGTGCGGCTCGATTAGGGCAACGGCGCGAGGAGGACGGCGGCGTCGGGCGGAGGCGGAGGGACGGTCGAACGGCAGTCGGCGAGCGGGGTAGAAACGAAGCAAAACCAGTCGGGGTCGGGGAAGGAAGAAGAAAGAAGAAGGAGAGAGAAGGAAGAAGAAAGAGAGAAAGAAGGAGAGAGAGAGGGGGGAGAAGGGACGCGCGGGAAGCGGGGGAGGGGACGTGCGCGGCAGAGGAAAGAGGAGAGAGAGAGAGAGAGAGAGAGAGAGAGAGAGAGAGAGAGAGAGCCATAAAGTCAAATCTAATGATCGCGATCCAATGGCCCACGCTCGAACTCGAAAACAATCAAACGGTCCACAAAAGTCCTAATTAATATTATAGGAAAAAGGGCCAAAAGAAATTAATCCAAAACACACTACGAGGGAGGTCTACTAGTCCAAATCCGCACCCGATCAAAAATCCACTTTTCACATATTCCTGGCAATAGCGACACTAGCCACAATAATATCGACACCGTCCAATTAAATTCGTCCCGGAACTCCGAGAAATTCGACACCAAAGTTTGGTCTCTAAATAACGGCCAAATTCGATCGAGTGCGATTCTAGCGAAATCTCTAATTTAAAAATAATAATCGAGAGTGATCAGTTCCCGGGCGAGATTTTACTATAAGCACACTGATGAATTACACGTTTTATAAATCCCAAAAATGGACCGAAATTTGGAATGTCACAATACGCTATCAAGAGCTCCGCTCTTATTCTCTGGATCTTTCTCAAGCTCCCACTCTGGCGGCTCTTTCATCATTTGAAGAGGTGGCCTCTCTTCCTCCATTAGTCGCAAGTCCTCTCCGTCGTGAGTCTGGCCATGTCATTCAGTCGTCACCCTCAAGAGCAGCCCAATCCGTGACTGATGCGCAGCTGGGTTAATACCAGCCCAACGCCGAAATGCAACATGCCGTCATCAAGAGGCAACCAAGTCGTCCCATCGCGTTACATGGACTGATCATCCGATTTACTCAACGACGGGGTGCCTCCATTTCTCAGGACAGGTATATCGTCGTTTCCTTTTCATCGAATCTTATGGCCAAGTTTTAGAAACCAATGATTCATTGCATGAATTTTCTTGCCAACGTTGGTGCAGCTCTTGTTCAAAGAAAGTCGTGAAGCAAATCAAGAAAAAAATTGTGAAGCCAAAAAAAGAAGCAAAGATTGTGCCCAGTTTGTTTTTTGTCCGAGGTAACAAGATCTAAATTTTCCTATAGATTGGTATCATCCGAATGGATGTTGTTTGCTTTGTGTTCACGACATTGGAGCATCCACACATCATATATGTGTAGAACGATGGGCTACGTTTTAGAAGTTCGAACCATATATACGTCCTTCTTTGCTCGTACGATTCGGGTCACTTCCATTCGCTTCCCGTCGAGGTGCAGTAGGTTTGCACTATTATATAATCGTATTTCATGGGCTAACATTTCGCCGGAACCGCTTGTTTTGAGCGACATTTCCGTTATAGCGATATTCAAAGACTGTCAATTTCTCATTCATTTTGTTTATTTTAGTATTGTCCAGCATGCATTTAGGACGGACAATTCATAGTTATAATGTAAAAATGATGATAAGAAAGGGAGCATGTTTATTCCACATTGTTATCGATTTCAAGATCATTCCACCATATCATCGCCCATAGATTTAGGTTAGAATTTGCTAGATGTGCCATCTAGATGCTTAGGAAATTTTTTTGAATAATAATAAGAAGGATAAAATATACGTTCATGAAATTTAGGGCTTAGGCATTTTGCGAGAATTTGCATTCCATAGATTAGAGTAATCACATGCCTAGCTTAGGGTACCACTCATGGGGTTCCCATCCCGAGGCCCAATAATGAAGCTTTATTTAATTTTGTTCCATACGGCTTGGGTTCTTTATTTTTCCGTAGTTTGTTTACTTTCATTTTTTGCGATGTTGTGTGATTACATTGTTACGTGATTAAGTGATTGATGGACATAATTGCACAATTTCACGGATGCATGATCATTTAGATGGGTGCGCTTGGAGACCAAAAATGGATAAGATCACATGATCAAACACAGTTACAAAATAATGAGAAAGGGTACCAAAATTGGGCGCTCAATAGATTTTAGTGTAATCAAGTCATGTTCCCGAATCTCTAGTTTGCGGAAGTGAAGTGATCTCCCTCATTTCACTTGACTTCTAACTAGCCTCAAATAGGTTAATGGCGACTCTTAAAAAAAGAACAAAATTTGCATAATTAAGTTAACCAAAATCGCGATGGTAGGGTTTGGGAAAACTTGAACCAATTGTGAGAGTCACCTCATAAGAGGAACTATCCATGCTCCCTTAGTGATTCGTTCGCTCGCTTCGAGGTGGCACTACGCCCTTGACAAGGCCAAAAAATATTATTCACTATGATTAAGCTCCAAAAATCACATCAGCTATGAATAAACCCTGTAAATCACGTCGACTGTGATTAAGCCTCGAAAAAATATTGGTCCGTGTGCCCACACACACATAATATATATATATATATATATAGCATTTTAATCTAAAATATTTCCAAAAAACATTCACGACAAGCTCAAAAGTATTCAATGCTGAATCGAGTTTTCCAAAATAGCATACCATAATAGAATATTTATTTATATACTTTAAAAATACATGCTATGTCACGTCACAATATAGCTTTTTCTCGGTAAATCAATGTCATGCAATGTTTACAAAATACGAAAGTGGTAGAAATTACTTACCATGATAAATCACTAATTTAAGCGGCAAAACTCAATCTCAGACTTCCTCCGTCCCTAAACAACGGCTGAATGCACTAGGGCTGAAAAGCCCGTTCAGACAAAAATCATGTAAATGCCCTCCAAGACTCAATTTCATGTCCATGTCCCTAACACGCACCGCATGACCCAAGAATATATTTGACTTTGTGAATCATCTGAAAATAATCATTCTTTGAGGAAAATAGCTTATATTATTTTTCAGAAAATAGAAAAAAAATAGATATTTCCAATATTGCGCGCGGTAACTTTTTTTCTTCAATAATTGCACCGAACTTTTCAAAGGAATTAGAATTTTCCACAACCAATATCTATATTTGAACTAACCAGATTGACTTGAAAAGTTTTGGATGTCCATGATTTTCACAATTTTCATAATTTCTGAGTAATAGTAGAAATTTATATATTTTCAAAAATCATGAAAATTTCACATAACATAGTAGTCTCTACGTTGAGTTTAATGGAGAAAACGGTGTCGCAATATGGCTTCTGGATGGACTGCACGAGCCACCGGAAGGAACTGTGCTGGTGAAAACCGAGATTACAAGAGGTGCCGACTTTGTGCACTCAATTCTCACTCTACGGATAATTGAATCTAGTGGTTTTCATGTCGTTGGAAAGACCTCATGTAATACTACAATTTCGTAACAAGGATCGACCCTGAAAGTAATCCAAATAGATTGTGTTTATGCAAGAAAGTTGCACTTTTACTAGCCTACAACCGTGACTTTGGAAGGGTGTAATTTCCAGACGAAACGTCGAAATCACGAAATGCCAAATCCCAGAGGTCAAAGGAAATATTAGTTCAAGCCATGGATGTCGCCATTTAGAGTGGTTTTTTGGTGATGAAGGACACTCTCCGGTGAGCCTTGGACCTTTGTCGTCGCCGTCCTCTCTGCCCTCTTGCCTCTCTCTTTAGTTTTGGCTAATAATGGCAAATGCCAACCCTAGGCGTATTTCAACCAAAAAAATAATCCTAGGAGTATAAGAAGGCAACATGCCAAGCTATGCAAGACAAGTTTAATAATGGGTGGCGCTTTTTCTACATTTCATTTGGCGTAGACTCTCTTTTTCTTGTGTTTTGAATATTCTATCCCTTGTGGGGCCACCACTTCTGATATAACTCTACAAAAGTGACTTATTTTCTTAATTTATTATTTGGTGAACTTTTTTATTTTGTTTCTTTTTTTTCCTGTGGGTCCCACTTTCCTTCTTCTTTCTTTCTTTCCACGCCTTTGACGTCTGAGTTCTCAGCTCTTGCAAATCGTCTCTTTATTTTCTCTCTTATAGGTTATTCTGTTCTTTCTATGTCTCCCGCTTCTTCTTCTTCTTCTTCTTCTTCTTCTTCCCAAACCCATCGTCCTCTATTTTCTATTTATGATGCCAACCCCGTTGTCCTCCACACTTTCGATAGCACGAGCATTGGGCTCGTTGGTGACCTCCCCAACAAGCCCTTTTTCTCTGCCACACGCAGGTGCCAGTATAGTAGACAATATTGTTGTCATTTCGATATAGCAAGCCACATTTGTTCTTAAAGCAAAAGACTCTGTAGCCTAATTTAGGTACAAGAGGCATTTTTTAGCCTCCACTCTAGATTTAAACCCAACACCTACAATCTTGAGAAAGACAAAGAATTTGGCCTCCACTGTGTGAAAGAAAACAAATTTCTTAATTCCCATTGAGATCAAACAACCAGATTAAGCATTTCCGACTAGTCAATTAATGAGAAGCAATGACAGCATCCCAAAAAGATGATGAAAAACTTATGGAAACCATAGTAAGAAACTAAATCTAGAGGGAGCAAAGGTCTACACGACGTGAGTATGCTACAAACTACAAAGCAATTGCACAATTAATTCACAAACACTGTTTTAATGCACGATACGCTCTAAACACAAGATTGAAACACAAGATCAAGTATTTCCATGACCCAAAACTCAAATTCACTTTTAACAAAAAAAAAATAAGAAACACTTAAAAGCGATTGGAATGCGCATGATTCGAGACCAAGAAAACTAGGATAAAAACAAGCTTTGGCCAAAATTGTACCTCCAATAGCGAATGAGGAGGGCATTGATTGTTAAAGTAAACAGTTCTTTTGGGGATTGCAGATGCAAGAGAGATTTGTGGTAGCAGATGAAGAAAGAGTGGGAGGTGTAGAAAGAAGAGAATGACCTGCAAGAGAGACAATACAGACAAGATTTGCAAGAGCCAAGAATCGGGACGTCAAAGGCATGGAAAGAAAGAAGAAGAAGGAAAGTGGGACCCGTAAAGAAAAAAAAGAAACAAAATAAAAAGAGTTGACCAAATAATAATAAAAAGATCACTTTTGTAGAGTTTAACCATAAGTGATGGGTTCATAAGGGATAGTATGGTCAAAACACAAAAAAAAGTGAGTGCATAAGCCAAAGAAGGAGTGGAAAAAGCGCCACCCTTAATAATTACCTCCCAAAATCGCTTCTCGCCTTCTCAAAATAATCTAGATGTTTCATATTTTTTCCAAATTTATGAAATTCCCTTTTTGGTTTGCAATATTAAAATCTACCACCTAATAGAATCGAAATTTGCTAGACTTGAACCTTTGAATGAGTACGAATACTTTATTTCGTATTGTTCTCAAGTCCCAAGTCACTTATCTTCCGATGTGATTTTGTCATTGCACCTTCACATAAGGAGTGACGAGATGCGTCACTACTTGTCTCTTCAATCAACAACACCAACCGACTGCTCGTTGTAAGTCATGTTTACCTTGAATTGTAGCAGCTTAAAGTGACCTATTTAGAACTTGAAACATATGATGCGTGGAAAACGCTGCCTACTCCTACTTCAAGCAAGTGATACAGTGAGTCAATAAGTTACATCTCCGATTTTCACATATCAGAACTCAAGCTGGAATTGCCTAACATCACAAAGAATTATAGAAACAAAATGATGGATGCGGATTATTGGGCTATATTCTATTGGTGTTAGCTTCTGGCCCAAATATGTATGGTTTTGGTATAGTTCATATGTGGCAAGATCGGTTTGAGGCTTTGTCCTTCTCTTGAAAGATGGCCGCGTCACTCCCTTTTTCTTGTGCAGAAATTAGAGTGTGACAATTGCGCTATGTGATAAGGAGGAAGGACCAACATGAATAATGAGATTGATGGTTATGATTTAGTCTTAGAGGACCCAAAACTTTTTACCAAGATAGCTGAAGCCCATCTATTGATCTTTGCAATTTTTGTATCATTGTACCGGAATCGACTAAAAGAAAGCCCATCTATTAATGAGGACAATTAAATAAGTCAACATTTGATTATTAATTTCTAAAGTTTCAAAAGCGCATGATCTCAAATGCAAAGAGGAGGAACAAGACGGAGGTGGCACGAAAAAAAGAAAGAAAACAAAACGGAAGAACAAAGTGAGGGTTGATAGTTAATCATTGTCGAGTTATGTTGCCTTTTGGCCATGTCTTACGGCTTCAGAGACGTGAACCCTAGTTTAGGCCTCAGTGAATAGCCATGGGATCCAATCTACCGTACTCGTCCTATCTGTAAGAATTTGTACACACTGTCCAATCCAGTTTCGCCACGTATCAATACAATCTTACCCCAAAGCCCCACCTGATAAAATGATGTATTTGTCCTTGGAAATATTCTCCTTTGCTTTTAGGGCCTCGGAAATGGTCAGATGAAAAATCTCTGCGAAATAAATATCACTGTCACTTTCAACACCAGCATTTTCATTGC